AATATATATATATTCAGAACAAATTAAACGTATGTACAACAAAGTTTTCACACTCTAGAGATTACAGGCATATCATAAACACTATTTATACATAGTTCTCTTCTTCTTGTCAAAAGTCCACTTAAGCCTATTCAATTACTTTAGAATTTCAGTTGACAAGTCGAACTATCTTCTCTATATTACTATCGTACTAGTATTCTGTGTGTGATTCACTTACAATTGTGGCACGAGTTACCATAATCGTTTGGTCTTCTTTCTTCTGAAGATCCTCTGCTTCTTTTGTCAAAGTGGACTAAGAGTTGCAAAGTAATTTATTTTCTTGTAAAGCTGATGCATTTGTATAATATGTTTGTTTCTCATAAACAAGTACATTTTTAGTATATGTTCTGTACTGGTTAGAAAAGTGGGTATGTTTAAGGTATATTTTCTGTTGAAGAAAGTTTTTATGTAGAGTATGTTCTACACTTAAAGAAACAGAATAACATCTTTAAGGTGTATTCTGTATTTTCTATGAAGTAAATACTCATCTTTTTCTATATTTAAGTTTGTTCTTATTTTAGTGAAGCAGCATATTTTTAGTCTGTGTTCTGTAGTTTCTAGTGACATTTGTGTCTTAAAGTACATTATGTATTTTGAATGAAGTAGCTACATTTATTTGGAATATCTTTTGCACTTCATAACAAAGCAGGTACGTCCTAAGGTATATCCCATATTATTTAATGAAGTAGTTACATCTTTAGAATATATTTTGTACTTCATAACAAAGCAGGTGTGTCCTAAGGTATATTTTATATTATTTAATGAAGTAGTTACATCTTTAGTACTTCATAACAAAGCAGGTGTGTCCTAAGGTATATTCCATATTATTTAATGAAGTATCTACATCTTTAGAATATCTACTATACTTCATTAGGAAGCAGGTGTGCTCTAGATATATTTTACATTTTTTAGCAGAGAAAGTATCTTAACAGAGCATGTCTTGTTGCTTTCCAGTGAGCAATTACATCTTTCAAGTATGTTTTGTGCTTTCTAGTGCATTAGGGTAGATTGTTTGAGTATGATTTAAGGTTTAAAAATGTATTAAGTCCATGATAGCTTTAGAATTGTTTAATGGTTGACAGTGTTATAGCTTTTATATTAAAAATTTAAATTGTTTGAAAAGAAATGTGGCAGTTGTTAACTCAAAACATTAGTATTATATTTTATCTAATATTGATATGAGGAAAACCTGTTGGTAATGATCACATTTCAAACAACTTGCTAACAATACATGCCAGAAAATGCAAGGATTCTTGTGAGAATGTATTTGTAAAAGTAAAGCCCACTTATGCCAACCTGATATGCAGGCATATCATGGGGTTTCTACCTTCTGTAGTGGTATAAACCTTTAATTTTTTCTTTTATTACTTAATTTCCACATATGGTCCAGAAAGTTATTAGTATGATCTTATTCTAGTTGTTTCATTTCTTTGTTTGCCTTAGTAGGTGATGTCCTTTCTGCCTGCAAGGATAACTCAGTATTGTATAGAGCATCTGAGTTAGACAGATTAACTCTGTGATATCCTTTTATGGCTGAATATTAAGTTGGCTGAATATGACAACCGAGCAATGCTGTCAGAAAACAAAGGTGATGAGGTGACACTGTCCATTGGACAAATAAATTGAGTTTACATGCTAAATTTGAGGGTGCTTTCTTAGTTCAGTCTTCTACTAGATGATCTATGAGGAGGACCTGAATTTGTAGATTGTGTTTAGTTTAGTAGCAGTTAATCTCGAGAAAAAAGAAAAAAAAAGATTATGGGGCTAGATACAATCTAGTGGAAAGGAACTACCCAGATGTTTGCATAGGTATGCACACTGCATTTTCTGTTGTATTTGTGAAATATAGATTTTGTTTCGTCTTTTAAAGTTGTCCAAACATTGTATTCTCTGTTAAAAAGGAACTGTGTCCAATTATCTTAAGCAGAAACTCTTCTTACTTCCTGGGCGAACCTCCTGTT